CTTGGTAGGCTCTCGAGGGGGGCTGTTCCTGTATCCGGATTCCCCATTCACCCGTTTTCCATGTCGGCGTTCCCTTCAGCAGTTCTTTCCAGCCTTCCGGGATGCAGTTGATGACGATCTCCAGGTTCCTATCTCGCCGGTGACATCCCTTGAGGTGAGGGACAAGTTACTGGTCAATTACCCAGTTTTTTTTCTCTTCATCCACAAGTGCCAGATTTTCCACACTCCGTATTTTATCCATGATAGCCAATGTGTATCTCTTGGTTTGAGGGAAAGCGAGTGATCACTTTCATCTCTCACCCATGGATTGCCAAATAGGGGTTGCCTCAGTACCTCTTCCCTAGTCTTGGGTTTGTCGATTCTTCTCGACATGATTTCCCACCAGATCCATAGCAGAGCTGCCCAATAGGGTGTGGGCGGTCTGGCTCCCTGAGGGTCGACACCTCGTCGTTGGTTTCTGTGTTCCGTTTTTGGGGACCATTCCTTGTTCATTACCCAAAATAAGCTAGACATGTTTGCTGGTGTCAGTACCGGGGCTAAGCCCCTTATGTTGTCGAGTGCTAGTTTATTCCATGTTGTGCCCGGTTTGGTGAGAAGTTTGATGATCCATTTGACTTGGAGGGCTTTGGTTTCCTGTTTGGGATAAATGATGCCCAGACCCCCTCTGCTTGGTTTCCTCGTGATATAATGTCAAGCTATCTTTGGGATACAGTTAACTTTGTTGGGGTCCCCTGTAAGCTTTTGCTTTCCCGTTTAGTTCGTTGGTCGAGTTATCTGGCACCGTCCATATTGAGGCTATATACCGCATCATCGAGAAGATAGAGGTATTGATGGTTAAGTGCGACCGATTAGGGATGTAAAGGTGTTACCCCATCTGCCCGCTTTGTTGATTTGTTTGGTCAGCACGTCTTGGGCCATCTGAGGGGCAAAACCCTCTTTTGTCATCAGAATGCCCATAAATTTTTTGGGTGTCTCCGATGTTTCCCATGTCATTGCTGCTTCTTGGCCTTGGAGGTGAGGGGTCTCTTCCTCTGCCAGCCACCACCCGATTGTCGTTTTCCAATTGATTTTCATTTCTGATGCAAGTCTGAAGGCTTTTATAGCTCTCACTAACTCACTGAAAGATGAATCTGAGGCTCATATGAGGACGGTAAGATTGTCCGCAAACATTATTAGTCAGAAACTTCAGACGGTGGGGTGATCCTGCATCGACTTCTGGTAATCTGTGGATGGAGGGATCTTTCCGGAGGAAGGAGGCAATTGCTTCCATGACAAACAAGAAGATTAGGGGAGCTAGTGGATCTCTTTGGCAAACTGAGCGAGAAATTGGGTAACAGCCCGACAGCAGACCATTGACTTGTACACGGCCTATGGCGTCATTGTAAAGGATGCGTACCCATTTTCTGAAATTCGGCCTCACACCCATCTTTTCCACACTCGCGTTTAGAAAGGCCAGTTGACCTGGTCATACAACTCCTCAAAGTCTAAAAGTAGTATTGCTCTGTTGATCCTCTTCTCTCTTACTTTTTTGGCTGCATTATTGAGGGTAAGTACATTGTCCAAAATGTATCTCCCCAGAATGAAGCCTGTTTGGTCTATATGGAAGCACTTGTCAGTGAGGTCGAGGATCCTGAAGGCCAGGGCTTTGGCCAGGATTTTGTAGGGCAGTGTGAGTAAGGAAACAGGCCTGTAGTTCCTTACGTCTTCTTTTTTGCCATTCTTCTATAGTAGTGTAACTACGCTTCTGCGCAGCAGATTCCCTAATCCACCTTTGAGCCAACTGTCTTGGTAGAAATTTAACAGGTCGCCCCCAAGGAGTAGCCATAACTTCTCCCAAAAATTATTTTGTGTTACGATCCTGGCCAATTTCGAAGTATACATACATCAGAAAGTACAATGTCGTCCAATTGCAAAAAGAAATGAATGAACTTGAGAGGAGAGAGAGGGAAAGAAGAAGAAGAAGAAGTAAGAACGAAAAGAAGATGATGTACTCCAGCATAGACCAATGACAAGGCTCTTCTTCTTCGCCAACCAATCTCCACCTCCTTATCTCCTCCCCTTTTATTCAAACAAGAAATAACAATAATAATGTTGAATGGCTGAACCAGAATCAATGTTCGAATCCCACTTCTACTGCACGCACAACATGAGGTCCACCATAGCCATGGCCACCCTTCTCCTTCCTCGTCGTTGCAGGCCGAGGCTATGGCGGACTACTGAGGCTTCAGCCTCCTGTCCAAACACAACCCAAAGCAGATATGTCGTTGCCACTTCAAGCAGCTATGCCGCTGCTCACTCAACCGCCATGCCTGACTCTACCCCGAGCTTCCTTGGTGCGACACTACCCCAACGGGGCCTTTCCAAATGCAGCGCCTAACAAGGTGATGAAGATGGTGTCCACCATAGCCAGGTAAGTACCTCACGACTCCCCTCCTTGGTCCCCTTCTCCCTCCTCCTCCTACCGGTAGAGCTCCACCATAGCCAAGGTGGAAGCTCCCTGCTTCTTCCAGCGCTCTTCCAACCAGCGCTCCAACAGCGTGACACCCAACTCGCACACTGAAGAATGAGGCCGAGCTCTTGTCTCGGCCTCTTGATATAGCGGCCTACTTGCCTCCTGGGCGGTGACTTCCAGGCCGCTCGGCCTCCCAAGCAACCGGTACCTCCTCCCTTTCGGAGAGAAACATCATTGCCGACTCTGATATTGCCCGTACAAGCTCTAGACTCAGACTGGATGGACTGGTACCGGCCTAGACCTAGCCTACCGCTACTGGGCCTCGAAAAATGCCAACTTTGTCTTCTTCTGCTCGGCCTCGAGTACCCTGCACATCTACTGCTACTGGGTGTGGTACCGGCCTACCTGCTACTTGAGTGTTTTTCCGCTGCTCTAAGCACCGCGGCCCCCTGGCTCTGCTACTCGAGTGTTTTCCCTGCTGCAACCCTCAATGTCACGGCCACAGGTAAGTACTGGCCCTACGGGCCTGCCAAACAAGCAAGTACCCTTGCGGGTCACACACACTCATGCCGAACACTCAGACACGCACGCAAGTCAACAGGCATGCACACATACAAACTTAGAAAACACATCAGAATGCGGGAATCTCAGCAAGGCATCCATTCCATCGGCAGAACTTCAGAAATCAGCAGTGTTCTCAGTCTGTGTTATGGCGGGTCATTACACTACCCCCCCCTTCAAGAGCGAGGTCCCTTCGAGCGAGTAACTCAATCAGAGTCCTTGCATAATGCATCATAAGCGTAAATAGCAAACAGAGATCGGGTATGTTCCATCGCGGTAGCAGTGAATTTAGGTTGCTGTTCGGAATTGATCAGTCGTTCATATGCGTTGACGACTCGCGGGGCGCTCTGCAACAAATCTTTCTGAGCAATCCAGTAAAAGTCATTCAATGAATGATATAGGAAGTGAACTTTGTATTGTCTGTTTCTCCTTTACCCACTCTGCTCGACAAATTTGTCAATCTCGTGACCGCCATTGATTGCACGAGGAATCATTGATTCTCGATATGGAAAAGTTTCGGGTGGTTCATACGGAAACAACTTCGACGCGTGAAAGCCTGGGTGCGTGCGCAGATGAGGAGACACGTCGGTCGTGTAAGAAGGACCAAATGAATCGTTCCCAACTCGGTTCGGCACCTTCCATGGACCATAGTACTGAGGACGAAGCTTTCGTGATACACCTTCTTCTTCAGAAAACTCAGACATCTTGACCCAGACATAACTTCCCACTGTGAAAAGGTCAGGCTGGCGCTTTTTGTTTGCATGCTTAATCATGGCACTGCGTCGCTTTTCCATAGCCGCGACCGCAACTTTGAGTAAACGACCAAACTTAGCGTTGTAGCCTGGCTGGCCAGGTGTTAGGCCAGGTGGCTGTTCAGGGAACAGATAAGATAGGGGATTGCGGATTTTCCACCCAAGGTGAAGCCAGTTAGGTGTCATCCCGGTGGAAGAGTGTATGGAGTTGTTGTACAACCCTTGCAAATCGGCAATTCCTCATCCCAAGAGTTCTGATCAGGCACAGTTAGAGCTCGAAGAAGTTGGATCACAGTCTGGTTGACCCCCTCGGCCAAGCCATTGGCTTCGGGATGTCGACCAGACGTCATCTTGAGTTTGATGTCATAGATCTGGGAGGTGAAGTCCTTTCAATCTGCACTTATGAACCTAGTGTCCCGGTCACTCACAAGAGTTTTCGAGGATCCATACTGCAAAATGTACTTCTTGTGAAAGTTTTTGATCACCAGGTCAGTTGGGGCATGAGGTGGTAATGGGATCAAGTTCAAAAATTTTGAAAAGCGGTCAACAATCACCATTATTTGCGAATATTCATTCCTATTCTTTTTCCCCATGTCCGTGAAGTCAATGGAAAGAGACTCACCCGGGCCATCATGATTAGGAAGAGGATGTTGCAGCCCATAGGGCTTCCGCCAAGACGGTTTGATGCGTTGACAGACCTCACACTCAGCCACAAACTTTCGTGCCATCCCTTTCATTCCAGGCCATACAAACTTTTGCAACAGACTTCCGTATGTTTTCTCAAAACCGAAGTGTCCACTCCGGCCATGAGCCAAGTCCAAGAAGTGAGTAAGGATCGGCTCATGGTTGGGTACACACAGTCGGTCGTGCTTCCCGTAACGTCGGAAAAGTAAGCCCTTACATTCATGGAAATCAGGCTGACTGTTGGGGTCAGCCCGAATCTGCTCAAGGATGGGAACGAGTTCCGGGTCCCTGGCAGTATCCTCAATGAGTTCCTCCTTCAAATTCTTACGGAGATCATAGGAACCCACAAGACAAGTCATGTACTCAGGGTGGCGAGACAAAGCATCCGCAACATGATTGTAACAACCTTTCTTGTGCCTAAGTTCGAAATCATACACAGCAATCTCATGCAGCCAGCGGGTCAGTGTAGTTGAGGGATTGGTCTGTGTCTGAATCCATTTCAAGGTCTCGTGGTCTGAGGACACATTGAAATGGCGACATAGAGCTCTCACATGTAAGTGGAGGGACCTACCTTGTGACTAGGCATACGTTTGCTGTAGAATTTTAGCGAACGTAAGTCGTCGCCATCATCTTGTTGCAGCACTGCACCAATCCCATACAAACTGGCATCCGTAGTTACTACGAATGTAAGTTTGGGATCTGCAATGCAGAGCACCGGACGACTCGCCAAAGCCTCCTTCAATGCTTGGAAGGTTGTTGTGCATTCCTCATTCCATGTGTAGGATACATTCTTGCTTGTCAATCTGGACAGCATTCGGGCAATGATAGAGAAGTTGGGTACAAACTTACGGTAGTATGATGCAAGACCAAGAAAAGAACGCAACTCGCGGACATTCGCCGGTTGAGGCCACATGCGGATGACCTCAACTTTGGTTGCCTCGGGCTCTAGGCCTACAGCAGACAATCGATGTCCAAGGTATACGACGTTGTCCCTCCCAAACTCATATTTCTCCAAGTTGAGATGGAGTTGCGCATCCTTGAGGATCTGCAACACTTCCTTAAGATATCTCACGTGCTCCTCCGTCGACTTGCTGAAGATTAGTATGTCATCCAAATACACAACAACAAACTGGTTGATCTGATTGCGGAACACCTTGTCCATGAGACTTTGAAAGGTGGTCGGTGCATTCGTGAGGCCGAAGGGCATGACAATAAACTCGTACAGCCCATCGCGAGTTTTGAATGCAGTTTTGTGCTGGTCTGCAAGGTCTACTTCAATCTGGTGGTAGCCAGACTTGAGATCGATCTTGTTGAAGACTTTGCACCCACCTGCAGCATCAAGCAGATCATCAATATGTGGCAAAGGATATGCATTATTTCTTGTTATCCTATTCAGTCTGCGGTAATCGATACACATCCGTAGTTTGCGTCCTTTCTTCGGGACAAACAGAACCGGTGCACCGAATTCGGATTCGCTTGGCTTGATCCATCCCTTCCCAATCATGTCATCAATCTGTCTTCGCAACTCCTCCAATTCACCTGAGCCCATTAGATAGACACAACCTTTTGGAGGAGTGCTACCTTCTATCAACTCGATCTTGTGTCAGACCGGACGCACGGGGACTCCATGCGGTTCGGACAAGACTTCAGGAAAATCGGTTGAGAAGGTTGCGGATTTCTGATGGGACTTCCGGAGGTGGATCATCACTTTCAGGTGAAAGCATACCGGATTGCATAGGTGCAGCCAAAACAACAGAATTCGAAGCAGAGTCGTTTGGACTATAAGTAGACTTAGTAGAGCTAGAAGTAGTTGCATTCGAAGTAGAAACGACACGCAAAGTAGAATCATTATGTACAACAAATACAAAAGGCACATGAGTAGCCCTAACAAAGGCTATGTACATTTGCTCATCAGCATTGCGCCTGCGCCACTTTTTGCAGAATTGCATTGCATTGAGAAAAGTTACTTGGGACTCGTGCGGCTCATCCAAGAGGACTTGACACTGGATTCCCATGGCATCTTTGACCATGAACCGTGAGTCCTTCCACGTAGTTCTTTCACATTGGGCCTGCAACCAGCCCAAGCAAATAATCGCGTCGAAGGGGCACTTATCAAGGACACAGAAGTTCAACTCATGCGTGATTGTGCGGTCTGCCTCAAAGGTAGTGCGCACACCTTTGACTGCATGTGTGGATGTGACAACCTCTTGGTTGCCCACTTGGGTCCGACAAGGGTTCTGCAACGCCACTTGCTTCATTCCCAAGCGTGCCTTACGAATGTCGTGCGGTGAGAAGTAGTTGGCGGTTGCGCCACAATCAGCCAATGCACGGATGTGACGACCGTTAATGCGGAGTTTGAAGAAGATCAACTTCGTTTTCCCCTGTGCACGTTCTTGCTTCATGTGAGCCCAACGCGACAAGAGAGCATGAAAGTCGATTTCTTCCGGCTCCACCCAAGGCTCCTTATAGAGGATGTGCAATTTCTCAGCTTTGGGATCAGCATCAGATGGGGTTTTAGGAGAGGTTTGCTGAGTAGAATCAGAATCTGGATAAGGATCTGTACTTACATGTTCAGCCTCTCCGTCTGTAGAGTGTGTTGATGATGTCTCTACCCCCGTTGCTGGTTTCTCTGCTGCAATCTAAAGCAATGTTGGACTGAATGTCCCGGTTTGGTGCAATGAAGGCAACCTTCTTTCTTCACCCTGTGTTTCCACTCACTTTCACTAATCCGGAGATCTTCCCATGGTTTCGTGGAAGGATCTTCTGGTTTGGGTGGAATCTTCGCTCCCTTGGGAAGGAGAATGGTGTTAGTATTGTTTTTCACTGTGGTCCTCGGTCCCTTACTTTTGAAGGCAATCTTCTTGAAGGCATTCATGGATTCCTCGTCATTTACATACTCAAACGCATGAGTTGACGAAGAGCAAGATGCCTCGCAGCCTTGCTCTTGATCGTCATCAAGAGAAGGATCCTCTTCGAAGGTCTCCTCGTCATCCTCAAGTAGATCGTGCACTGAAAAACGGTTCTTGCCTGGAAACCGCCACCCGATCCACCCGGGAGGTCTTGTGCCTCCAGCTTGACTAAGTCCCGCATGCGGGTATGCCAATCTGTATACGCTACGAGTCTGAGCCCCAACCGATGTGTTATAGTAGAGGGGACCATACCTTTAATCACATCCAAGCTAGACTGCGCACTCATCTCTAAATCAGGAGTAGCAAAACTTTTACTAACGTACTGCTGCAGACTATGCATGGTGTCGGTCCACTTGCTGTCTTTGAGCTTGTCAAGCTTAAGTCTAGCCTTGGGTGCAGCATGTGGATCGGCATATTGTTTAATCAAGAATTCCTCGAGTGCGGCTATAGGCGTAGCTTTCAACCGTTTGTTCAGGTCTATTCTTTTATACCCTGACTTTACAGCTTGGACTTCTAAGAAGCCCCTTACGGCGGGTTCCACATTGGTCCCTAGGACCGACGACTGAGTTACCGGCGGTGTCCCCAGCACATCAAAGCAGGATCGCATGGAGTTGATCCAAGATTCGATGTCGTCCTTCCCATCATACTTAGACAGAATTTGTGTCGCCTTCCTGTCCACGTAGGGAAAGTTGCAGCTAGGACCGACAGTTGCTGGGTCCGAATTCGGGGCTGCAATAGTTCCAAAATGCCCTGCACTACCACTTGTCGCTGCAGCAGCAGCGGCAACAACAACAGGGTCTAGACCTGCAGCAGATCCGGCTAGGCTGTTGGCCACACTCAAAGAAGAGGAAGAAGAAGAAGAAGACACGGTTCGAGGGGCAAGAACCAATTGACACGCAGCACTAGAAGCAGGGTAAGCAGGCGGAAGGACACTTTGGGCCGGCTGCAAGTTAGCAAACTGTTGCAACTGGTCACGGTGTTGTTGCGCCATCCGGGCCATATCCTTGCGCAACTTCTTGAGTTCGTCAAACACCTTTGCGAGTTGGCCAGTATGGTCTTTAACAACCCGGGCTTCTACTAAGGCCCTGAGGAGTGGGATAGTCTTTTCTTCCACCTCAGCATCAGTTAAGGCGGGCACGGTACTGAAGACGGCTTCATGAGCCTTCACTTTGTCTTCCCTCTCCTTCTCCTTCTCCTTCTCTTCCTCTTCCCTCTTCAATGCTTTCTCATAGAAGAATAGGTACTACGCTTTTTCTGCCTCAGGGGCAGCGTTCATTTGCAGCTTCCATTTTGCTGCAGATACCATAATAGAGGATGAGGGGGTTAATAAGTCTCTCAAGAGGGGTTCGTACTTCCTCACACTTCTGGAACGAACACTCCTCTTACCTCTTCCCACTCCCTCAAGAGCAACACTCAGAAGCCTCTCTCTCTCTCTCTCTCTCTCTCTCTCTCTCTCTCTCTCTCTCTCTCTCTCTC